TATAAATAAATAAAAAAATACAGCAAAAATTAACAAACAAAGCTAATAAATGGGTTTCAAAAACCCTCAACTTAAATAGAGCAAAGCCAAAAGTAAACCGGTTTTTTTCTTTACGGGGTGCGCAAGCACCCAAAAACCCAACTAGACAAAAAATTAATTGGAATTTTAAATTTTCAGCGAAAAGGTAAATAGGGAAGAGCGCGATAAATGAAATAAAAGCAACAAGAGGAAGGGTATATAACTAAAAGCAATTTAAATTGTTTTTTTTTTTTGGGAATTGGATAATTTTAAAAGTATTATTCATATATAACTATATAAAAATTAATTAAATAAAATTAATTATAGATAAAGATAATAAAATTAAAAAAATTTTAAAAAATTTTGTAACATAAAATATTTGTATAAAATTTAAATTTATTATACATTAAGAAAAATAAATTGCATATTATAATCAGAAACACTATTAGCTAAAGAAACAGAACTTATAATACAGTTTATCTTGTTTTATTTAATACATTTATAAATTTAACTTTTATTTTTAGTTTTATAATTATATTATATTTTGCCACAAAGCAGACTTTAAAACCAGATTCTTTGTCGTTAAAAAGAAAAATATTAACAGCTGTTCAAATACAAAACAGTTATTTTAAACAAATTACGTTTGAGTAATAAAAGATAAAATTACAGCTTATTTGTTAAAAATAGTTGCAAAGTTTATTTTTAATTTGCTGAGTCTTTCTATTTGACTTTAATTATAATTGAATAAGTAAAAGATATTAAAAGAAAATTTATTTTTAATTTACAAACTATAATTTTTATTTAAAAAATTAATAGTAATAAATAAATTATTTAAAAATCAATTCTTTTAGAAATTTGCTCTCCTGCTATCTTTCAAACAAGTTCTTCTTAGCGCGTGCCTATCGTACTTTTACGTACACAATGTACTTGTAATAAATTGCTATTTTCAATACTTCTACACACACATTCATATCTTTGGCCTAATAGCATATTAGGTCTGTCTGCATTACAGTTTATCCTCACATAAAACGAAAAAAGGTCTGAGAAATAATAAAAAAACCGCCCCCAAAGTAGAATTGTGGCTGCAGGCTGCGCAGCTGAGCTTGAAATGAGCATTCAATTTAATGCTATATATATACATATATATGTATGTGTGTTTATATGTCTAGCTTTATATTTTTCAATTTGAAACTGTCGCCAAGTGCGGGCAGCAATCAAATCAAATCAGCGAATGAGTTTAAATGCGAAAAAAAAATATATATATATATATATATACAATATATGTAATACATAATATATTCTTTGATGCTGTACTTTTAATGAGGATACATTCAATTAAGTGGGTATTTAGATCCTGAAGCGACTTTAGCACCTGCTAATTGCTCGGCCTTTGGGTTAGATTTTACCTTTGTACCGTTACGTGGAGCTTTCGTTCGCATGCCGGAAGAGATCAATTTGTGGGCCTGGCCGGCAGCTTGCGCAATTTAAGTGCCTAATTGCAGTCGCAGATACAGATACAGATACATTCATACAACCAGCAGCAGACACAGCTGCAAAAGCTCTATGTTGTCTAGGGTTGAACGGGAGGGCTGAGATTCAGCTAAGCCCAATTCTCAGGGCCAGAAATGTGTACAAAAAGAAGAGCTAAGAACAAGAATCGCGAAGCGGGAGAAGCCAGCGCGAGAGGCGGGCAGTGAACTTGCAAAACGAGTTCAACGAGATTTCAGGGCAGCAAAAAAATAAAAGATGGGAGCGAGTGCAGCAAAAATGTTAGAATTCTATATACCCTGTATAATAATTATTTAAATATATTAAAAATATTATAATAATTTATGGGCATACTTTTATGAGTTTAGAGCTTTAAATTTATTTAATTGATAATAATATATTTATTAGATATACAATTATTCAATTTATTGCATTTATAATTTTATTTTTATTGATTTGTTCATAATTTACTACTATGTATATTAGAAATAAAACATTTATATACATTTTAGTATTCCATTGAATATATATTTTGAAAATAAATCTTTAATATTTCTTAACTTATCTTTTGCAGTGGCTCTCGAAATTAAAAGCCTTTCGTTCGTTTAAGACAAAAACAATTATCATAAAACCGAAATTATTTATACAAATCGCAATAGCCCACGCCAACAGCTCGCACTTCAAAATCTGATTTGTTTATATAGATATTTCGAAGAAATAAAACCAAATCAAACGTAAATTGCAAATTTTTGCTTTCAGTTTTTCACCAAAAACGAAATAGAAAGCAAAAGCTGAAACCAATTTCGCTGGCATTGAATAGATTGTAGAGCTATAGCTATATAAATTATAATATATTGATCTGTTTATGCTATATTTCTATAGTCCGAAATTCTCTTAGATTTTTGCGTGAAATTCATAAATAAAAGATCGAATGCTGAAAGCTGCTGTCAGCGAATTTAACGGAATACTTTGAACTTGAATTGCGCAGAAAAAAACCAAAGAGAAGAAAGATAGATATAGATACAGATATCTACACATATGTGTATACAAATACAAGTACATTTTAAGATGGATTAACGTTTACATATGTAGATACATTTTTAGATAAAGATACATTAGCACAAACAGCTGCAGAGACAGGTAGGCTACGTATACCTACAGAAATAAAGCTACAGATACATTTACATATGCAGATACCGATACATTTACAAATGTTGACACAGATATATTTTCAGATGCATGATCAGGTAGCTATAAAAATACAGCTACAGATACATTTTCAGATACTGATAAATTAACATATGTATGCATGAATACAGATACAGATACAGCTCGATTTGCATACACTGCAGATACACATTCAGATACATTTACATAGAGCCCTTTAAATACGACTGAAAAACATGTAAACATTGTGCTTATATGCCTTTTAACCTGTAAATCGTTTTTATAAAAGTAATATCGAGATAGTTTGTATCTGTTGAATCTTTTATATATTACATACCCTGTAAAAATGTCTGCATAATAGCGAATTTCCTTTAACTGTGAAAAGTGGATACTAACAGTTTATATTCTAATAAGAATTTCAGGATTCTTAAAAGAAGCTTAAATTTAATTGATATGTCCTAATTTCACAAGCTATATAAATATTTTAATATTCCTTGTCATTGAACTATTAACAATCCAACTATTACTTTAGGGACTGAACTAAACAATCCATTCAAAAATAAGTCTTTAAAAGTGGGTGTTACTCATGCATATTGAGATAAAAATCTTGAACAGCTGTGTGCAGCAGCTGTTAAGCAAGACTGACGCAAATGTCACAATGCTAAACTTATCGATTATCGATACAATTTAGATTTACGCACGTTCTTAGGTATTAGAATGGGAAAACAATTGAAACTTACCTCGCAAAGTGCTAAAATTGCAAACTATTTCTTTACAATTTACAATTGGGGATGTTGTTGTCGACGTCACGAGCAGCTGTTGGCAGAGAATTTTTTATATATTAAAACACGCGCGCAAACACAAACTAACAAAACTTTTATATGCGAAACGCAATGAGATAAGCAAAAACAACAACAACAGTTACAGCAGCAGCAGTGGCAGCGACACAGCGGCAGAGACAAATTTTTCTCTCAATGAGCGCCGAAAAAAAAAAAAAAATCGAAAATTGACGGCGCCGTCGCTCTCACCAATACAGAGGCAAAAAGCGACAGGGCGTCGTATTTAGCACTGTTATTGTAGTTGCAGTTATTGTTGTTATTGTTGCTTTAACGTTTCATTGTTTTCTAAATAAAATTTAACACCATGAATCAAGTACAATTTTTTCTTTTAAGACACTCTTTCGTTAAATAGCAGATGCTCTTAACTCATATTTGCCAAACATTTTATTGTAAACATTTTCTCTTTAAAATTTCAGCACTTTTATTAACATTTTTGTGGTGAAAAGACGCATCGCACAAATACACACACACACATACAAGCGCGCATGCATAAAATACACTAACACACACACACACGTACCCACTTGGGCACAAACACATGTACACACGATGCTGCTGCTGCTGCTGCTGCCTGCTTCTTCTTCTTCAGAGCGCAGTTGGTTTTGTTGTCGCGTCGTTTTGCTTAAATGTTTATATGCATTGAAAATTTGTTTTAGCAGGTTTATTCATGAAACGCGATTCATTTTGTTTTTAAACAGCAGCCAATGCAAAATAAAATGTTAAGGTACGAAAATTGCCACCCACGAACGAACGCAAAAATCCAAACGAGCGATTTCAGAGTAATTGAGGTACAGCAAAATCAGTAACTGTTTCTCGCTAACTTCAGCGCATTTACGGTTATTAAACTTTTAAGCACAAACACATTACTATTATGCAAATTTAAACGCACCCAAAACGCGACTTGACCGTCCGCTTGTAAGATTGTTAATGTTAACATATTATGTTAATTTGCTCTACCATAGAATAGACACTATGTTAAACTCAAGAGGTACTGCTACAGGTTTTCAACAATTGGTGGTTAAATGTATAGTATGCGCCAGACACTTAATATATCAATCTTAATTTTTGATATACCATTTAACACCTATTGCTTCTTTTATTTACCAATTCAAATCATCCAACACAATTTTTTAAACATGAGCTGCATACTTGGCCTAGACTTACTTGTAACATTATGTTAACTTTCAAATTTGATGTTAGTTGCTGTTAATACTCAAAATGGTGCTGTTCGACTCAAAATGGCATAGCAAAATTTTTAGTGTGCTCCAAATGCTTTTTCGCCATCTATCGTAAAAAGGCTAAAGGTAGCCCGCTTCAGCAAAGACAAACACCCATTTCAGTGCGCGATAAATCCTAAATGGCGCAAATTTAAATTTTTATTGATACGGTGAACGGGTATTCCATTTAATTTTACATGTTTTATGTACGTGTAGGAATCTACAGATTTCGAATGTTAACTTATGTCCATACCTATATGTACAATACGAGTGAGTCTAGTACCTAGATTTCCTCCTGAAAAAGTGTTTAGCATGACAATCCACAGCCACCACAGGGTCCACATCCACCACAGCAAGGAAAACAAGAACCACAGTAGCAAGCAGCATAGCAGTATGGGGAACAAAAGCCGCATCAGGAGTAGCACGGACAGCACATTTTCACAAACTGCGAGCGACTTGATCAATGCTATTTTTACAAGCCCGGTCATATACTGACTACGTACTTACTTTTCTTATTACTTCTTCAGGGAAATAGGCAGTAATTGGGATTGAAGCGACTTTCTACAAGCATCATTTGACTTTTTTAATTTTATTTTTTAATATGCTAAAAGCTTCAACCTGAATTATTAAAAATCATGTATATTTATCAATTCTATTTTTTGGATTATTTCAACTCACAATCAACCCATATTTCACATAACGAGCACATACAAAAGGTATTTACTGGACAAATTTAGGACTTTTAATGAACAATGCTTCCTTGTGCTGCTCTTATCGGAATTCAAAACGTTGTAGCCTACTATTTGTTGGATATTCAATTTTGATATTCAAAAAATATATTATACGCTGATCCTATTGAAAATGGGAAATCAAGGTAAAATGGTTTTGTGCAAATGTATGTAACAGGCAGAAGGAGGCGTGGCAGAACTCATAAAGTATATATATTCTTGATCAGGATGACAAGCCGAGTCGATTGAGCCCTGTCCGTCTGTCCGTATGTGTGAACGCGTGTATCTCAGCATCTATAAGAGCTAGAAAAGTGAAATTTTCTTTGTAGGTCCTGTTTGTTTGTTATCGAGTAAAAACATGATTGAAATGCAGTTAATAAATTATATCTCAGACGTCTTAAAAGCTAGAGCCTCCACCTTTTGTATTTAGTTTTATGTATATTTTATGCAATTTTGGTTTTTGTTGGATTTTGGATACCGGCTCCAAATTTCCCCAAATTCTTTAAATTTAAGTTTAGTTGGAACTAGGGCCATTATGTGAAGGCGTTTGCATCTCAACTAAGCCAAAAGGATATGTAGATCATATGCTGAAAATTCATTAATTCATTAAAATCCATTAAGTACAACAGAAGTTATTAAACAAAACGTTTGGCCGATTTGCAAAAGCACATGTCAGCAGCGCCACGCGCACGCATTTCCCCTATGCGTGTGCACACATACATTCAAATGCATGTAATTTTTTCTATTCAAAGAATCGATATTGCGATTGAATACTGCTTGAATTATCAGCGGCTACTCAACTTCAAATTTGCAACTCTTCTTGCAAGCAGTGCACTGGCTGCGTTGGTAGAGGCGGCGCTCGTAAGCAGTTCGGTTCGAGTTTGGTGGGGATGAAATATTTTTCATTGATTAATTGTATTTTTTTGTAATACTCTACACAAACTACGTAGAAATTAAAAAACGCATCTTGGATTGGGATCAGGGCATCTCCTAGTCGGGCGCCCCGACTAGAGCTTTCTTGTTTTTCCTAGAATGGGGGATAACCTTGGAATACTTTCTTCTCGAATCCAATTTTTCCAATTGTATTTATATTCTTAATTACTCTGTCTATCTTTCCATAAATATTTCTCTATATCGCTACATATCCCTCTATATCGCTCCACCCCCTTCTCTCCACAGCCTCTGGCACCCACACCCAACAATGGATCAACGCTGCTTTTTAATTTCCCATAACTTTACTTATTTAAACATAAAATTTTGTACACTAACAGAGTGACATTCGTATAGCGCCTGAAGTATGAGTAGTACCTAGATATCCTTTTGAAGACATCTCTAGCAACAGGGGCCACAGCCGCCACAACAGCGTCCATAACAGGGACCACAGCAGGAATAGCGATAGCAACAGCCGCCATAGCAGCCGCCGCAAGGTCCACAACAGCCACCGCAGGGTCCGCAGCACGAGTAGCAAGGTCCGCAGCACATTTTGCTAGATGCTGTTGCAATAGACAAAGAATTGAATATGAAGCTGCAGGAAGGATACCTCACGGAAAGGTAGGTACTACAATATATCGATCTATAATCTGAATTAGGCTTTGGGGAAGCAGGCCAAGCCGATACGATCGATATTTATAATTATTACAGGAAAGACTACCACCTAAAGATAAAATAAATAAAACATAAAATAATTATTTAAACACAAATCTCAGAATTCTACTTACATATCCCAATAAAGAGCACACAAAAATGTATATAGAAGTTTACGGGACAAATCTAAAAATCTTAATGAGGATTGTTTGTGCTGGTCCTGGCTAGGACAAAATCGTTGAGACTGAATTTCAAAAGCCTACTTCATGCTTATTTTTAGAGTTTTACTTGCAATACCCGACGTGGCTCAGTAATAAGTCGGTCTATCAATGACCAATAGATGTTTGTGTTAACTTGAAAATATCCTATAAAATGTCTTTAGCTATATAGCTGTAGATGTTCTCAACGGTAAATTGCAAGATAGTTTTATTCGATTTGCCAAGGATGGGTGGACGAATAGAGGGATGGACGGACTGATAAATGGAAGGACGGAATGACGGGCGGATAAATGGAAGGACGGATGATAAATGTAAGGGTGGATGGACGGATAAATGGAAGGAAGTTATCAACAAGTGTATAGGCATTCATTAGGTATATATATTTTATATATTTTGTATTTATTATATTTATTATATTTATTATATTTATTATATATATTATATATATTATTTATATTATTTATATTATATATATTATACATATTTTATGAAAAAATCGGTGCCTTATATAATCCAATTTTCAGAGCTCAAGCTTGAATACTTTCCCCAGTAAAATTTAAGTAAATTAGACATAATTTGTTTTCGTTTATCGAGTGAATACTTTATTTATTTTTGTGTTTATATCTAACTCTTTAGAACTATATGTTTAAAAAGAGACTATAAAGTGCACAGATAGAACATACACGTAAATGGTTAATTACTTAAGCGGTGCAGTACCTAGATTTCGTTCTGAAGATTTATTTTAACAAAATGGGCCGCAGCCTCCACAGCATGGTCCACAAGATCCGCAGCAAGGACCCGACCCACTGCAAGGACCACAGCCGCCACAGCAAAGTCGCGGGGGGTGGCAATAGGGCGAAGCGCCGCCGTTGCAGTTGGGATACAGCTTGTAGCACATACTGTAAGCAGCTGGAAATAGGAATTGATTGTGATTGATACGGACACAGAAATTTAATCAGATATACTCACTTGTCAGAATACCTCTTCACGGAAACAGGAAGTAAATGGAAGCTCAGAAATTCTCACTCAGATAAAAACTTTATTCGAGCTGAGTTGTTGTTTTCTCACAGAAGCTACTGAGGCCTACATTAGAATATTGGGAATCATTTACAAATATATAAAAACACATTATATATACGTACATTCCCAAAAACTCTACACAATACAGAAGTAATGTCATATACTTCAACACGACAAGTCTATGAAATTAAATGGAATGAGGCATTTCAGTTGATCGACGAGCGGAATACCAGTTCACATTACGAGGGCCTACTTAGTTTTTATTTACCGAACCCACTGAAAATATTAAATCAGGGAGGGTATGATGAGCTTTTGATGATGTTTGTAACAGGCAGAAGGAGGCGTTGCATACGTCGTTAATTATATATATTCATGTTTAGAACAAGTTGATTCGATTTAGCTCTGTCTGCTCGTCGATCTCAGCATCTATAAGATTAAGAGTTTTAAAATATTTTTGCAGGTCCGTCTATAACTCACAGTTGAAAAAATAATATATAACTTTTGCAGATGATTTCTGGATATCTTCCTGAGTTTTAGAGCTGCTTTGCAGTTTATCACTGCTGAATGCTTCACATGATCCGTCTATCAGGAAGGAAACCCGTGAGCTGAGCTGATATAAAAAGAATATCCCTCTGCATGTCCCTATGAACACCGTGATATCAAGAGCCAAGACGACAGATGTCGGCCTTTCATTAGTTTCCAATCATTCCACATAGTCTCTAGTGCCCCATTTACTACGTGGCTGCAAGCAGCGGCTACAACTTCCTCCCAAAGTTAAAACTTCCAAACAAAGTACGCATGGATTTTGCTATTTATTTACACAAGCATTGATGCAGTACCTAAATTTCGTTCTGAAGATGATTCATTTTAACAGCATGGGTTGCAGCCTCCACAACAAGGTCCACAATGGCCACAGCAAGGTCAGCCAGTTCCGCAAAAACCACCCCAAGACGTGCAACACATTTTGATTTCTACAGACACTGGAGACACTGAATTTCCGACTTCAAGCCTCTGTCTTAGTCACTTACCTCTAGAAAATCTTCATAGAACCAGGTACTAAGTGGTTGGCAAATTGTGACTGCTGTGTGGCTATCATTCGACTGCGAACTTTCGTAAGCCTTTGCCGTCGTAGTTTCTATTAGCAGTCAAATCCACCTGTAAATCAAATCAATTATAGATCTTACGAATACCTCTGCTTACTATTGTTTCACCTACATTTCCTAAAACTTCACAATCCAGGTACAAACAAATAAGCTGAGTTGTTTTCTGAACGAGTCCTTTATAATCTGTGTGGAATTTTGGAATTGCTGGTTGGGGGTTCGATATTTAGAGTCTACTTTGTTTGTTGGTTTTCGAAAGATTTTGCTTTTATGTAGACCTTAAAAATGAATAGGGCTTACTAAATTGAGACTGCTCGGCTCGCAAATACCCTGTAAAATTGTAATTTCTAATTCACGCAAACTAAATTGGTCTTTATAAAATTGAATTAGACTTCAATTGAAATTAAATATAAAAAAATATAAAAAAAAATTGAATTAAAATTAAAAACATTAAATTAAACTAAATTAAATCAAGCTAAAATTTAAAATATTAAATTAAAATTAAAATAAATTAATGATAATTACAATTCAAATATTCATCAATCAATCTCAATCTCCATATGTCAAGCTCTTGATTCATATATTAAAATAAAATATAAATTAAATGATACCTAAATTCAAAATAAGTTTATATTATAATTCAAATTAAATTGAATTATATATTATTAAAATATAAATTTAAACTAAAATTCAAATTAAATTCAATCATGCTTTAATGAAAACACAATTTATTATGACATTCTTTTTTTCTCCAAAATTGGAAATACGGAATTTAAAAGGCTTATCGATACCATTATCTCTAATCTTTTGCGTTGTATGTAGGTCCTAGATTTCCTTCTGAAGATAGTTGCAGTTTAACAGCAGGATCCCCCACAGCCGCCGGGAAAGCAGCACGCCGCAGCGGAGCAACCGCTACCGCCGCAGCAGCCATTGCAGCCGCAGCAGCCATTGCAACATCCATTGCAGGGCGAGGTGCAGGAATAGTTACACGAATAGCAAGGAAAGCCCATGCTGATTGCAATGTTAACTTTGGAGTACTCTTAGCTGAACTACTTCACGGAAAGAGGCAGTTGGCAGGAGTGCAGAGGGCTAATCGACCGACTTATAACATTTAGTAAACTATTTTGTTATGGTATCCGAATCAGTCGCTGAAAAGGAAGTATTTTAAGATATTTCATTATATATGTTTTCTTTACTTACATTTCTTAAAAAATTAGAGATGTTTATTGGACAAGCCTTAACACGGGAATGTACTTGGCTGGGTAGCTAAGGGAAGATTGTACAACTTCAAATTTCAAAGGTTACTTTGATGTCCTTAGAAAATGATATGTACAAAGTCCTTCTCAACTCAGTTCGATTCTAAAAATCATCTACAGGAAAAATCTTGATTTCCTTCAAGTATAAACTACATTTTAGACTTATCACCATTTACTCATACACAACTGGCATAATACGAAAAATTTACAAATTTGTTGTCAATTTCATATACAAAGATCGGTTGAACTACTACCTAGTATCTTGCCCTGCATCCGGCTCTGAGCCATGAACCACAGCTACCACAAGGACGATATCGACCACCACAAGAGAATAACAGGGTCCGCAGCAGGAGCTGCAAGGTCAATAATAAGCACCGCTAGCCGCGCAGCAATTGTAACAAGGTCCACAGCACATCTTGATGAGGTCTATATAGAGAACGTTAAAGTATAGTTTCAGAGGGCATAGGACATATCACCTTTTAGTAGAACTTCTTTACAGATATAGGCAAAAGGACACCGAGCAAAGAGCGCAGATTGGATTACAGAAAATCATTTATTTTTTATCCCAAACTTCATGCAGTCTTATATATTTAATTAACAAGATAACGTCCAACCTGTCATTCAAATAGAAAGTTACACTTACATATATTATTGGTCTAATTCGAATATCCGATAAACTTACATTTTCCAAAAAATTTACAAATATTCGCACAAATAAAATCGAAAGCTGTTGACTGGACAAGCCTTATGATCTGAATGAAGATTATGTGACTTGCGCCGATAACTAGGCTAAAGGCGTTGACGTTTAATTGTCAGAGATTACTTTGATTCAGATTACTGCGGATTGTGTTACCTGGCGCTAATCGCCTAACGTTTAGACACTATTTTATTGTGTGGTACAAATATAAAATTCATATATTTATAGATGCTTATATGTATATTTATTTGTTCATCTATTCATCTATTCATATATTTAGATATTCATCTGTTGAACCATTCATTTATTATCTATTCATCTATTAATTAATTCATTTATTCATTTATTCATTTATTCTATTCATCTATTAGATATTCATCTGTTCAACCATTCATTTATTATTTATCTACTCATTTATTCATCTATTCACTACTCATCCATCCATATATACATCTTATTTATTAATTCATCTTTATTTTATATATATTCCTAAATTCACAAATGTATATATTCATAATTTAGCAATTGATATATATATTTTATACTAGAAATAGGTTCGAAACCCGTTTGATTAACTATATTTATTTAGTTTAACAATCCCACAAACACCATTGTATATTAAGCAATTAGACGATCCAAATTTTAATTATTCAAATTTTTAAGACTGTTTATTTACAGATATATGATTAGTGTGATTACAGAAATTTACAAATGGAATGCTACTGTTTTGTCCTAAATGGAACATTGTATCTTGTTTTTGAGTACCCTGGTTTTGTTCTGAATATGGTTATGGTTTAACAGCATGGACCGCAGCCACCACAGCATCCGCCACAGGGCCCACAGCAACCACCACACGGACCACAGCAGGAAAAGCTCGGAGCACAGTAAATACCACAAGACCCATAGCAGCCACCACAAGGTCCACAGCAGCCACCACATGGTCCGCAGCAGCCACCACAGGGTCCACAGCACATTTTGTTTTGTGATCTATGTGTTATTAGATCTTTTAATGCAAACTGAAGACCCCAGATTTCACTTACTTCTAGTTAACTCTTCCCAAAAATAAGTCACTTTTACGACCGCTGATTGGCTTTCCAGAAAACCGTATAGACGGATATCGCGCCTCCAGAAAACTAATCAGTCGACGCCTTATTTTTCTTTTTTTACATGAAAGAATTCAACCTGAGAATTTGGTAAAAAAAAAAAGAAAATAGATAAGATTGAATGAGGTTTTAAGCATTCGAAACTTACGTCCCTTAAAAATTTACAAATATTTACACAAAAAATAAATAATTTTGAGTTGTTTGACGGACAAGTCTCAAAAACTGAATGAGGCTTATTCGTGTCGCTTGTGATAACCAGACAAAAATGGGTGAAGTTTCAATGGCAGAGACTACTTTGATGTAGTTGAAGTTTGCATAAATAACTTATGACCAAACACACAAGAGTGATACTATTTTCGATAACTAAATTTCAGCTTCTATTTGAGTTATTGATAACGTTCGCTCGTTAAAACCTTTAATTAGCAAGATCTGCCGTTTGATTAAGGCACGTATAAAAAATACCTCTGAATCGGAAAAAGACAAGTTTGCTCCTATGTAGTCGACAGCAACGATCACATCTAATATCAATCTGAGCTGCGCAGGCTTCTGAAATATTCTCAAGCAGAGTCCGACTGATGGCTATCTATTTACCCCCGATTGATGCTACTTGGCGAGATGCAAGACTGCTGAACTAAGATCTTCGATCAATCTTATACCCCAAACCACAAGCCCCTACCCATCAAAGATACGTCTGATCATTTGTATTCGACCTGTTTTATTTTATATTTACGAATACCGAAATTTACAATGGGTTTGTTGAAACATTTTCCTAATTACTTCTGAACTGGTCGCTTTCGCACTGAGGTTAGTTCTGGTTTTTGTCAACAGCAGGGTCCACAGCCACCACAGCAACCGCCACAGCAGGAGTAACACGGACCGCAGCAGGAGTAGCAGGGTCCGCAGCAGGAGTAGCAAGGTCCGCAGCAACCGCCGCAGGGTCCACAGCAACCACCGCAAGGTCCGCAACACATCTTGATAGAGACTGCAGGGCAGATCGTTCAGATAGATAGTAACAAGTCTCGGACTAGTGCAACTTACTTTTACTATAACTTCACAGAAATAGATACTAGGGGATATTAAGTCACGACAACTAATTGGCTTTCCAAGAAACTATTTAGTTCAGATCTGAAGCTTTCGCAGTTGTATATTTGTAAATTAAACGAAAAGCTCCAACCTGCGAATTACATTAGAAATTATTATTCAATAGAAAGTTTTTTGTTAAAACTTACAGTTCCCAAAACTTTTACAAATATTCACACATATATAAAAAATTTGTTTACTTAACGAGGCCCTAAAACGAATTGAGGCTTATTCGTCTGGGCTCTGCTAACCAGGGGAAAATCGTTGACGTTTATTTTACAGAGCCTACTTTTGGTCTGAAGGGTATTTTTAATTTCTGTTTTTATTTGCAATCTGTCTTATACTAGACAATAAACAAATTTGTTAACAATAATGTTACTTAACCAGATGGCTTGGTCTCCACTTAGATCAATCCATATATTTACTTACTTTACATATTTATCTATTTCTGTGGGGCAGGCTAGGACATGAAACCTTTTGAGTCGCCTGTGGTTGCTTGAGTCATCCAGTAGTCTTAGTGCTAGAGCCTTATAGTGGTTATGTAGTTTATTCATGTCTGTTTGCATATAGTTGTATTTATTCTTTAACAAGGGGCAGTTTAACATCTTTGTCGATATTATAATTAGTCACATTTCAGGGTGCACATGTCTTGTTCTGGTATCACTGCATAATTTCGATATTTGAATTGAAAATTATTTTGTATTCTAGGTCAGCTTTATTAATCGGCTTTACTCGGCTTCTAATTTGTATGGAATTCTTATTTTTAACTGCTTGATAATGGAAAAATTATCAATCCTTTGATCTGTAGACGAAATCTTTGCTATAAACGCAAACCATTTCGAGTTGTTCAAGCTGAATATTTGAACTTTTTGTATGTTCTTTGGAAATGCTGAAAATTATTGTATTCGCTTAGTGGAGACTCGGCAAGCCGTGTTTAAATAAATCTAGAACCCGAAAATTTGGCAAGGGGAATGATTACTCATCTGTACAATTGCATATAGATTGAGGTCCCTTGGATAAGGATTTTAATATTTTTCGAACTCCGCCCGAGAATTTCTATGAACGTAAAGCACCTATACCCATATATATTATTTGACGATCGTTTATTCTTCCCTTCCTTGGGAAGTGGCAAATCCAACTGATTAAGCTTAGCAGACCTAGACCGCACATTGCTCTAGTGAATCACAATTACGAATTATTCGCAGTTCACGATTTCTCATTCTATTTTAAAACGCTTCCCAGCAAATAAAAATACACATATTTTAGACTCATCCATATCTATTTATACCGTGCACAACGAAAATTTACTAAGGGTTTTGTTGCAACTTTCACGCCATTGTTTGTCGTTTGATTCTTGTCAACAGCAGGGTCCACAGCCACCACAGCAACCACCACAGCAAGAGTAATATGGACCGCAGCAGGAGTAGCAGGGTCCGCAGCAGGAGTAGCAAGGTCCGCAGCAACCGCCGCAGGGTCCACAGCAACCACCGCAAGGTCCGCAACACATTTTGATAGGGACTGCAAGGCAGATATATGAATTATCCATCGAGTCTTCGATAAGACTATACTTACTATTAGTTAAGCTTTACAGAGATATTAGTGTTAACTAGGATAACACTGCTAAATTGACCGTCAAGTAGTTTGAATTTTCACTTTCGTCGTATAACTTTCAATTACAAGAAAGGCCACAACCTGTAATTTAATGAAAAATTTTTAGCTATTCAACATATTTGAAAAATAAAAACTCACAATCCCCAAAAATTTACAAATATTCACACAAATAAAGTCGGAAGCTTTTAACTGGACGAGCCTTTAGAATGAACTGAGGATTATTTGTCTGAACGCTGTTAACCAGGCCAAAATCGTTCAGATTTGACTGTCAGAGGCTACTTTGATTGTCTTTTTTATAAATTCGTATCGGGCCTTTTACCCTTGGTTTTAATTTAAATTGAATAAATGTGAACATAAGTTACAAAGTGAGATCTTTTAGTAGCTTTAAGCGAAACTCTTTGAAAATAAAAGTCTTTTCACTTCAAACTTTGACTAACAGTTGTAACATAAGCCCAGGAAAGCCAGACGGAAATGCCCTTTAGATGAGGCCAAAGTGCGAGGAAATTGTGAGGCAGGCACTTAAAAAACAAACTCAAAGGCAAAGAGCATCTTTCAGTTTCCAGTTTCTAGTTCAAATATCAACGGAAAATGGCAATGAAAAGTGCCCAAGTGCTTAAGCTCATCTATCAATATATTTGCCAGATATGAAGCGTCAACAATATTAAGTCACAACGACAATAAAATACCCTCGACCTTAATCTGTTATCTATTGAGTGGAGTAAAGTATAAGTATAAGTAAAAGTAAAAGTAAAAGTAAAAGTTAAAGTATAAGTATAAGTATAAGTATAAGTATAAGTATAAGTATAAGTATAAGTATAAGTATAAGTATAAGTATAAGTATAAGTATAAGTATAAGTATAAGTATAAGTATAAGTATAAGTATAAGTATAAGTATAAGTATAAGTATAAGTATAAGTATAAGTATAAGTATAAGTATAAGTATAAGTATAAGTATAAGTATAAGTATAAGTATAAGTATAAGTATAAGTATAAGTATAAGTATAAGTATAAGTATAAGTATAAGTATAAGTATAAGTATAAGTATAAGTATAATTAAGTATAAGTATAAGTATAAGTATAAGTATAAGTATAAGTATAAGTAAGTATAAGTATAAGTATAAGTATAAGTATAAGTATAAGTATAAGTATAAGTATAAGTATAAGTATAAGTATAAGTATAAGTATAAGTATAAGTATAAGTATAAGTATAAGTATAAGTATAAGTATAAGTATAAGTATAAGTATAAGTATAAGTATAAGTATAAGTATAAGTATAAGTATAAGTATAAGTATAAGTATAAGTATAAGTAAGTATAAGTATAAGTATAAGTATAAGTATAAGTATAAGTATAAGTATAAGTATAAGTATAAGTATAAGTATAAGTATAAGTATAAGTATAAGTATAAGTATAAGTATAAGTATAAGTATAAGTATAAGTATAAGTATAAGTATAAGTATAAGTATAAGTATAAGTATAAGTATAAGTATAAGTATAAGTATAAGTATAAGTATAAGTATAAGTATAAGTATAAGTATAAGTATAAGTATAAGTATAAGTATAAGTATAAGTATAAGTATAAGTATAAGTATAAGTATAAGTATAAGTATAAGTATAAGTATAAGTATAAGTATTCGTCTCACGTCTCCGTCTCCGTCTCCGTCTCCGTCTCCGTCTCCGTCTCCGTCTCCCGTCCTCCGTCGCCGTCTCCGTCCTCCGTCTCCGTCTCCAGTCTCCGTCTCCGTCTCCGTCTCCGTCCCGTCTCCGTCTCCGTCTCCGTCTCCGTCCTCCGTCTCCGTCTCCGTCTCCGTCTCCGTCTCCGTCTCCGTCTCAGTATAAGTATAAGTATAAGTATAAGTATAAGTATAAGTATAAGTATAAGTATAAGTATAAGTATAAGTATAAGTATAAGTATAAGTATAAGTATAAGTATAAGTATAAGTATAAGTATAAGTATAAGTATAAGTATAAGTATAAGTATAAGTATAAGTATAAGTATAAGTATAAGTATAAGTATAAGATAAGTATAAGTATAAGTATAAGTATAAGTATAAGTATAAGTATAAGTATAAGTATAAGTATAAGTATAAGTATAAGTATAAGTATAAGTATAAGTATAAGTATAAGTATAAGTATAAGTATAAGTATAAGTATAAGTATAAGTATAAGTATAAGTATAAGTATAAGTATAAGTATAAGTATAAGTATAAGTATAAGTATAAGTATAAGTATAAGTATAAGTATAAGTATAAGTATAAGTATAAGTATAAGTATAAGTATAAGTATAAGTATAAGTATAAGTATAAGTATAAGTATAAGTATAAGTATAAGTATAAGTATAAGTATAAGTATAAGTATAAGTATAAGTATAAGTATAAGTATAAGTATAAGTATAAGTATAAGTATAAGTATAAGTATAAGTATAAGTATAAGTATAAGTAAGTATAAGTATAAGTATAAGTATAAGTATAAGTATAAGTATAAGTATAAGTATAAGTATAAGTATAAGTATAAGTATAAGTATAAGTATAAGTATAAGTATAAGTATAAGTATAAGTATAAGTATAAGTATAAGTATAAGTATAAGTATAAGTATAAGTATAAGTATAAGTATAAGTATAAGTATAAGTATAAGTATAAGTATAAGTATAGCATAGCTGCTAATGTGAAGTTGTATTAGCAATAAACTAAAGCTTCAATGAAAGCATTCATTTACATTGGTTTAAATTATGTTGATTGCAATTGTAGGTAGCTTTAGATAATATTCATAAAATGCGATGCATGATAAGCATATATAATGTTAATCAGAAGAGGAAGGGGCAGAAGTAGAAACAGATGAGAATTGTTAAACAGCAGCTGACCAGGATGATGTACAGAGCTGAATATGTCCTAGGAAGATTTACGACTCGAATGCAGGAATCAGGAAAGGCTAGCCAACAAGTAAGGATGTTCATGTATATATATGTATGTATATATATAAATATGTTTATATATATGTATAAATTCATGTACGTGTGTAACAATGCGGAATTCGGAACGGGCAAGTGGAAGTGAAAATGGCACACACAAACACAGACACATAATGTCCTTCAACTAGCTTTACGTCACTTGGCCGCCTGCCAAGCCTCGTGACGAGGACAACCCTGACACTTGAGTGGAGACAGACAACCACTTGACTGTGAACCCCGCGTGGTGCCCGCGGCTCTTGCAACAATGCGTGGCGCCACCATAGACGACACATACAATACGGACAGTGCCACACATATACGTATGTATAACAATTGTGTGTGTATAGATATATTTGTAGCGCACTGTGCTGACATTAATGTGCGTAACTTGGACAATTACGACAAAGAAAGCAAGTATAAAAAAATATAGCCACTATGACGACTTGTGGAAGCTTAAATACCCTAATAGTACACTAAATTGATCAACATTTGGATCCATAATTGCGAAGCATTGGCAAAATAATAAGGGTTTGATACAAACCAAACCAAGTTTTAACTTTTTATTTGTGTTGATATTTATATATAATTATAATTTAACTCTTATTTACTATAATTTAATTAATTAACAAATGTACAAAAACATAAAAATTTCAAAAAAAAAAAAATAAATAAATATTTTATATTTCATTTTTTATGCGATTGTCTTAAAAAAGTAAAGCAAAATCAAAATTTCACTGGGTTGATTAATTTTTTTCAAATATTTATCTTTTCATTTTTATAATTTTATTAATTTATTAATTAATGATTTGGCGAAGCGAACTTAGCTTTAATGTATTGTCAACAAACCAACACAAAATGAAGCCATGAAGAATTTTCTCCTTTGTTAGAGTATGTCCGATGAACAATCCAATTATTTGTCGAAAAAAAGTTATTGCATTGCAAATATTATAAAAGCAATATGTAAGAGTATTGAAAGGTTCGACATGTCTGTAATTATTGGAGACTTAAGTAGTCCATTACAATAGGTAAATCTGTTTGTATTGCATTCGTGGCAACAAAAGCGTAAATGCTGCTCAAAATGCGAATGTAACTGAATACCAATGCAATGCAGTGGAATGCAATCAGAAGTAATTAAAGGTGATGAAGCAAAGGTGTTTTGATATTTAATTGAAAACTTCAATTGCAATTGGCATGACCTAAGTAAACGGTTTATTGTTGGATAAGGAGAAGCCGGATTAAGAGACGATAATAATTTGTTAAATGAAAAATCATATTGAATAAGACTTAATAACTGTTATTGATATAAATTGATTTTGATAGCTATACATTTAATAATTCTTTCTCTCTCTCTAACTACCTTTCTTTTTACCTACCCAATTATAAGTCCCGACTCACTTTAATGCCTCGACAACTTAATTTTGTGCGCTTTCAACTCTTTCAAATGATTTTTTAATTTTCGGCTGCTTACATAAAAAAGCGCCTTTTTTACCCATTTACACATTCATTTTTCATTTTCTTTTACCTTTTTTCCTGCACTTATCTGCCTAAGGGTATGCAACAGCTTGTGTTAATCACAGCTGCCCTAAGTGCTTAATGAGCCTAAGAATGCTGCAAAAAAACAACAAACGAAAAAGATTAGCCAGAAGATACCCTACTAGGCACTTTGGCATTGTTTATAAATTAAAAACATATTAAATTCTAATTATAATTATTTGCATTTTCATTAATATTAGTATATTTATTGGCTTTTCTCACTTCAAAGTATTCATTTAAAATAAATAGTCTTATACAAACATACTAAATTTATATAATTATATTTATATATATTTCATACATATAAATCAATGCATTAGCCAACTTTTAATATATATATATATTTATTTATATTTATATTTATATATGATATTTTTTTTATATTTATATTCAGGCGTATTCAACTATTCATACTTTTATGTAATAATTAATACATATTAGATTCATATAAATCTATTGTTATTCATGCGTTTTCTTATGATTCTTATATACTTAAAGTTGCAAGTAAAAATATGAATACAAATCATATATATATATTCATGTCGGTTTATTTTTTACTGCACTTTTAGATGTTTATTTTACTGTACTTCAAGCGAATACGAATATATTGAAGCTTCGTTAACAATTGCTGGTTCAGTTTATGGTTCAACTTTTTACATAGCTATTCATGGAGTTCAAGTAAGAATTAGATGTATATAAATATATATGTGCTCAGAACATATATATAACAACTCATAGTTACTCATATATCTAT